TATTTTGTTTAATCTTTCTTTCAGTGACAAGCACGTGCACTAAAAATCAGCATAAGTGCATTGTCCACCTAAGTCGTGCTCACATGGATACATAAAACTTTTATTTTCTCTAAATAAGTTGTTTTCAAGTGAAAAACAACTAAATAATTATGTGTAATAAGAAAAATTGAATGATAAAGAATATAAATTTTATGAATAATGGTATTTACTAACATACATGTGACATTTAATAATTTAATGCATGATACAATAAAATACTATCACATTAATGCTTCGAACCATTAATTATCGAGAAATGCTATTCATCCCCACATGGATGAATTCTCAGTCTATGTGGCGTTAAATGATAGGTGAAATTAAATAAGTCATTTAATTTTACCTATCATTTAACCAATCATTTACATCCACATAGATTGGAGATGCATCCCCACTGGGCATGAATAACATTTTTCTTAATCATCACATGTCTGTCACGTATGACGACTACGGTAGTAAGTGACTATTATATATATATTATAAATCTTTCAATTAAGTGCTTGTTTGTCTCCCATTTTGGGAGAAGAAATAGAGTTTTAAATAATATTTTTTGAAAAATGTGTGGTTGAAAAGTAAAGTAATTTTATTGGTTTGTGTGTAGAATATTTTATTAAATGAATATGTAGTGAAAATTGCTTACTGTAGCAAATAATATTTGATAAAATGAATGACAAACATGAGTTAAGTACTAACAAAGAGTAATGAATACTCCATATTTCGAGAGTACTAAAAATTTCCCCATTTTTGAGTATGTATGCTTTTGCATGTTGCTCTGGAAAGCCCGAAAAGACGGGCCAGAAAATGGGATCAGACGTGTAATTAATTGCGTTTAATGCTATGTAGTAAACATGCTTTTTTGAATTTATTTTTCCATTTGTACAGAAATGTTTCCACAGAAAACCACTAGAATACTCACAATGAGTGAGCCCCACCAACCACCGTGTATTAAAAAAAATCTGCAGGACCCACACATGTGAGTGATCTGGTGAATTTCTGTTGATTTTGCTTCTGTACATGAAGCAAATCTCTTTTTGAATAGGTATACGTTTACACGCTGCTTTGAAAAATCAGTAAAAGCAGCTTTAAAGCGGGATCAAACCGTAATAATAACGTTTAATGATATGTATTAACCATGTGTTTCTAAATACATATGTGCTTGCAAGCTCCTTTGAAAAGCCAAAAAAAGCTGGCTTTCAAACAAGACAAAAAACGCAATTAATCATGTTTAATGTTATGTAGTAAACATGCTTTTTCTAGATAGGAATGTGTTTGCACGGTGCTCTTAAAAATTCAGAAAAAGCTACCTTTAAAACGGGACTAACATACAATAAATCACGTTTATTGTCACATAGCAAACATATTTATCGTTAATATAATACAATATAATATATTAATTGATCGTGTATCGTATGATTACAAAAAATCCCATTCAAAATTTTGGTCTATTTGCATTATAATTATCTTCTTAGTAAATAATTGATTTTAAACAAAAAAAAAAAAAGTCCCTAAAATTGTCAGTGTAATGAAATTTAGAGGCTAGAGGTCAAAATTTCTCGACTTAATACTTGAAAATCAACTCATTAAATAGTTAATAGAACATAAATTACTTTGGGCAGTTCGATAATATATTATTTTTTTAATTTTTAGTCATTTGATTTTCTTTTTTTTTTTGTGGCTAAATTATATAATTATTCCATAATTTTTGTGTTTTCATACAAATTCATTTTAAATTAATCTTTTTCCAGATTATTCCGCCAAAATTCTGATCACAAAATTAACTACGCAGTAATAACCTGCTTCGCGAAACGCAGTTCTCCCTTCATTTTAAAAAGAAGTCAACGCCTTTTTAACGGTGCTAATGCAATTGGGTCCCACAGTCAATTAATTTTGGCTCTTCGATTTACTCTATGCCAGCTGCATTACTTAGAAATCTAACGGCTGTCAATAATCTGCTAGATATAATAAAAGCTAGTAATTCTATAGGCAGGTGAGAATAGGATAATTCGTGTAAAAAAAGAGCAAATAATCTGGTGCGAAACTATGCAAGGAATAACAAAATCAAACCAATGGAGATCTGCCACGTCTGGCTTTGGTTAACCCAGAATACCAGAAATTGAATTAAAATTTCAGACAAGTATGACGTGCTTATCATTAATTGGTCATACCTTAACGCGTTGTACTATAAATTTTCAGAAATATTATATTACCATATAAAATACACAGATGTGAAAAGAAAAGGAAAAAAAGAGAGAATTGTATAGATACAAAAATTTGCAACTCTTCCTTCCCGTTCTTTGTTATGGGCTCTGTTTCTCTTTCTAGGTGAGGAGCAAGAGAGAGATACACAACCTATATATAGATACAAACATATACATATACACATACACATATAATTATATATTTCTTTCTATATACACAGAGAAGGGATGGGGTGTTTTCGTTGTTATGGAGAATCGTCAATTAAGAAACCAGAGAAATTGAGGAAAAACAATAACTATAATCGACACAGAAGAGCTGATCATGCATCGCCAAATAGAGGTAGTAAATTTTATTGATGATGAAATTGATTTTTTTAATGGGCATTCTGGAATTTTGATTGTGGGGTTTTAATAACATTTTTTTTCTGTTCTATAAAGCTGTTTATAGTTTTTTTTTTTTTTT